AATGACGTAGAGTTTTCAATCCTTGGAGATATTCAACCTTTTGCCGTGCATGAAGTCTCCATTTATGATGATGCCGAGCATTACATGCCTCGAAAAGCTCGTAGACCTCCCCCTGCCCAGTCACCAGTGATACCCACTAGTATTGTACAGGGTCCTACGCAGCCACTTGCACAAGGTTATATACAGCCACTAGCATAGGGTCCATCACAGGTTAGGATTGGGGCAGATGTTTCCACTACAGACCTTGATGAATCTTTAAGGTTTGTAGTCAGGCGCGATGTTCCCCCTAGTAGAGGTAGGGGATTGCGTGGTAGAGGTCGAGGTAGAGAGTCAGTTCGCCCTCCGAGGAACTTTGATACTCGAATCCCTCCTCTCTCGCACTTGTACACTTCCTCTTTGACTGTTGAGTCTGACTCTGATGATGAGATGATTGATATTTCTTGTCATTCAGTCCATTCGCTTGCCTTTAGTGTTGATCATAATTCCTATCCCATGTTTCATAGGAATTTGATACCTCAGGGTGGTTTGGTTGTTGATAGTGATTCAAACGACGACGGAGATGTCGGACGTCAGGCTACTAGTCAACAATCCCTTTTTCGCCAGATGTATGGGATGAGAATTGAGGAATCTCCTCCTCAATCTTCCCCTACACCTTCCGTCAGTGTTCGTGGTGCACTACCCTTAGATAGACGCTCTGTACAAGAGCTGCACACTCTCTATGTGCCAGCACAATCTGCTTGGCATGCATCGTTGTTCCATAGTGTCGGTGTCCCACAGAGTACTGACATACAGGGTCCTGTGGAATCCACTGTGGACGAGGAGATCATACCAGTTCCCCGGTACTTTTCTCCTGCTGTTGATAACTTTGTTGAGCGAGGCATTGTCCCTTCGACTTGGTCAGGTAGACAGGCCCAACAGCAGGCCCATATTTGGCGAACTGATTTTCCTCGGACTGGGCAGGGTATAGGCTATTCTCAAGAGAATCAGTCCCCTTCCGCCAACATTCGTGTTGTTTCTCATTCTTATCCGGTCGTTTCCATCTCCGATGATGAAGACCCGGAAGAGAATGAGGACAGGGTCCTTGAAGCTCCACGAGAATTCGAAGATGGCGCTAGTTCTGCCATGGACGAATTGTGTGAGATCAATTTGGGCACTGAATCGGATCCTCGGCCTATCTTTCATAGCGCTTTGTTATCCGAATCAGAGGCTCAATAGTACGTTGCACTCATTTCCGAGTTTAAAGATTGCTTTTCCTGGAAATATACAGAGATGCCCGGTTTAGATCCAGAAGTAGCGGTCCATAAGTTAGCTATTTGTCCTGATGCAGTCCCTGTTAAGCAGTCACCTCGCCGGATGAGGTTAGAGATTGAACAATAGGTGATCGCCGAGACTAAGAAGCTTATAGAAGCTGGTTTTGTTCGTGAAGAGAATTATCCCACTTGGCTTGCCAATGTTGTTCCAGTCCGGAAGAAGAATGGTCAGATCCAAGCCTGTATAGACTTCCGTGATTTGAATAAGGCATGTCCTAAAGATGATTTCCCTCTTCCTGTCCCAGAACTTATGGTTGATATTGCTTCGTCCCATAGCATTTTCTCTTTCATGGATGGTTCATCTGGTTACAATCAGATTAAGATGGCCCCTGAAGACGAGAAGTTCACTGCCTTTCGCACCCCAATAGGCGTGTTTTGTTATAAGGTGATGCCCTTTGGCCTCAAGAATGCCGGAGCCACCTATCAGCGTGTCATGACTATCATTTTTGATGAGTTGATTCATGAGCAGGTTGAATGCTATGTGGATGATTTAGTGGTCAAAAGCAAGGTCCGTAGTGATCACCTCCGAGACCTATGAATCATTCCTGAGCGCTTAAGAAAATATGATTTGAAGATGAATCCCTTAAATTGTGCATTTGGAGTTAGTGCAGAAAAGTTTCTTGGTTTTATTGTTCGCTATCGTGGCATTGAGATTAATCCTTCCATGATCAAAGCCATAGTGGACTTAAAACCTCCTAGGAGTCTTACCCAGTTGAGGTCTTTTCAGGGTAAGCTCGCTTTCTTGTGGAGATTTATCTCCAATCTTGCCGGTAGATGTCATCCCTTTGCTGCTTTAGCAAAGAAGGATGCCCGTTTTCATTGGGATGAGAATTGTCAGGAGGTCTTTGAGAGCATAAAACGCTACTTGACAAATCCCCCAGTGTTAGCTACACCCATCCCTGGTAAATCGTTGATTCTTTACACTATTGCCTTAGATGAGTCGCTTGGTGCACTTTTAGCTCAAGAAAACGAGGAAGGCAAAGAGAATGCTTTGTACTACCTTAGCAGACGTTTGATTCCTGCAGAGCTAATATATCCGGCAATGGAAAAGTAGTGTTTGGCTTTGATCTTTGCTGTGTAGAAGCTTAGACACTATATGCTCTCACACAAGATCAGTCTGATTTCTCGAGTCAACCCTTTGCAGTACCTGATGACCCGTCCGACTCTGTCAGGTCGTCTAGCACGTTGGTCCATGATTTTACTGCAGTTTGACATTACCTTTGTCCCTCAGCGGGCCGTCAAAGGACAGGCACTAGTTGATTTCCCTGCTTCTCACCCGATCCCTGCAGATTCTCCACTTAATGATGATTTGTCCGATGAATTAGTCATGAGTGTGGAAGAGCAGGAGTCCCCTACTTGGGAGTTTTACTTTGATGGAGCCTCTTCTATCAAATCACTGCGACCTTATGAAACTCCTGTAGTTAGGGTAGGTTTGGGGCTTATTTTTGTGTCTCCTGAAGGTCACACCCTTCGTTACTCCTACAGTCTTTCAGAGCCTCGTACTAATAATGAAGATGAGTACGAAGCCCTAATTGTAGGACTTGAGTTGGATATTCAGATGAGTATCGTGCGGGTGAAAATCTTCGGAGATTCCCAATTAATTATTAATCAAGTGGCTGGAATTTTCAAAGTTCTCAAACCTGAGCTCTTGCCTTATCACGATAGGGCAATGGAGCTCTTGTGTTTGATCCCTGAAGTGACTTTAGTTAGAGTTCCTCGATCTGAAAATGGTAGAGCGGATGCACTAGCTAAACTTGCTAAGGAGTTGGCTAACCCGAATGGAAACCCGGTGTCGATTGTTGTCCAGTATCGACAAGCCTTGTGTCCCGCGGACTTGTCTTCTCCCGATCAGACCCTCACAGTCTGCGCTGTTGAGGAAGAGTCAGATTGGAGAGTCCCTTTTGTGGAATACTTGAAGCGTGGTAAGCTTCCGGATGATCGCTCTCTTGCCGCTCAGATTAGAAAGAGAGCTTTGTCCTTCTCCTATATGAATGAAACTTTGTACCGACGCTCTTTTGACCAAATGTGGTTGCGTTGCCTCAACAACGAGGAGGCTCGTAAGGTCATGGGCGAGGTACATGAGGGACTTTGTGGTGCTCATCAGTCCGGACCTAAGATGAAGGTCAGAATTAAACGCCTTGGTTATTATTGGCCGACGATAATCCGTAATTGTATGGAACATGCTAGTAAGTGCCACCAATGCCAGATCCATAACACTGTCATCCACCAACCTCCTAATCTGTTGCACCCCACTGTGTCTTCTTGACCTTTTGAGAGTTGGGGCACGGATGTAGTGGGTCCTATTGACCCTCCTTCCTCTAAGGGTCATAGGTTTATTCTGGCTGCTACTGATTACTTCTCTAAGTGGGCAGAAGCTATCCCGCTTAAGAAAGTCAAATCAGAAGATATGATGCGCTTCTTCCGCGATCATGTTGTCTACCGTTTTGGTATTCCGCGTTGTATAATTTCGGATAACAGTCCGTCTTTTAGAAGCACCAAGATTGCTAGATTTGCCCGCCGTCATAACATAAATTGGCGGTATTCCTCGATTTACTATTCTAGGGCTAATGGTTTGGCTGAAGCATTCAATAAGACCTTAGTCCAGTTGATAAGAAAGATTCTTGTGGCGAATAAAAGAGAATGGCACGATAAATTACCTGAAGCATTATGGGCCTATAGGACTACATACCGTACTCCTACTCAGTGTACATCATATGCTTTAGCTTTTGGAGTTGAAGCTGTCCTCCCACTAGAGGTTGAGCTCCCTTCGTTGCGTGTAGCAGTTAGCCACAATTTGCCCCACGAGGATAATGCCCGACTCCGGTTGGAAGAACTTGATGGTTTAGAGGAGCTTCGGTTACAAGCTTATCAGAACCTTAAGTTGTACCAGGCCCGTATGGCCCAGGCACATGATCGCCTCGTCCGACCCCGTGCTTTTCAGGTCGGTGAAATAGTCCTTGTATTGTGTAGGCTAGGGGTGTCAATTTCGGGTCACGGGTCGGGTTCGGGTTGAACCCGAGCTGACCCGGGTGGAAAACGGGTCGACCCTAACCCGACCAGGGTAGAGAAACGGGTCGAAAATCCGAACCCTTGACCCGGCAACCCGCCGGGTCAACCCGAACCCGACCCGTTTTTTAAACGGGTCAATTTCTGGAACCCGAACCCGACCCGTTTTGAAATCGGGTCGGGTCCAACCCGGATTTTCTGGTTCGGGTCCGGGTCGGGTTTTCGTGTCGTGTCAAATATTGACACCCCTAGTGTAGGCCTATCATCTCACGCCGTCGTCGAGGTGGTAAGTTTGAGCCCATTTTGGAACGTCCATTTGTTGTAGAGCAAGTATACGAAGGTGGATCTTATTTTCTGGTTGATGCGAATGACGTTCATCGCATGCCCGTCAATAATGGACAGTACTTGAGAAAGTACTACGCTTGAGTTTGCACGTCACAAGGGGCATCCCCCGCCACTGGTAAATATTCCTCTGTATAGATATAACCCTAAAGGATTTCTTGTACTTTTCGACAGTCCGTGGCCACGACGATTTGTCCTCTACCACGTGATGTTCGTCATACAAAGTATGAGATCATCCTTAAGGGTTGTGTGTAAATACGCCGTAGGGATGTTTGTGCTTACTTTCACATTCACTAATCACTTTGATGCTGTTACACAAAACTTCTTTCTTAATCCCCTCTTAGGGGCTGACTTCTCCTAGTTTCACTTGTCACCTTCAAGTGTGGTCTGGGATATAAAAACTAATAATTCTAACTTCTATGGAATGTGATACTGGGTCCATCCTTGGTCTATACTAGTCAAATCTAGCGATGTTGACCCATTGTCATCATATGAATTTCTCTACAAATTTTGTTGTAGCAATTGTGCTCCCCAGTTCATTCATATGAGTTGAATATGGCCTGGGTCACCAAAGCCAATGTTTAGTTCCTTTGAAGATCCTGTATACAATTTTATCTCTCCCCAGTTTTACTCATGTGGCGAGTATAGCCTGGGATATCAAAGCTAACAATTTTCCCCTCTTTATGTTCAAGTATACTTGATCTATATATGTGAACATAATGTAAAAAAAAAAAAGGGGGAAGCTCTTAGTTGAGAAAGAATCGGTTGCCCTTGTCACAGGTGGAACCCGGTTCTACACTCCAAGAGCCCAAAGTCTCTTCAAATTCCTTTCTATCTCTCTTTAAAGCATTTTGATGATTTCTTAAGAGATGACTGTATATTCATTTATTCTATTATGATTATTCACTTATGATGGGATGTTATTCTCCCTCACTTATGATGTGGTACATCTTGTTCTAGATGTTAACATCATTTTCTAGTGGATTTTGATCTTCTGATAGAAAGTCAATCCACTACCTCCTTTGTTGACATAATTTCCCTATTGAAAAATTGTCCTTAGCTGCAAGAGCAGTCTCTTTGGATGTATAAAATGTCTCTTGTACCTCTCACAGGGTCCTAACAGTTAGTATGGGTATTACCACTGTAATCCCTTTTGCAATCATTGATGTTTGATATGATGGATATTATTTTTAGTGGCAAATGAGTCTCATCGCCACTTCACTTGATCTTTTCGTATGACATTACTCTTTCTACTCGGCCGTTCATATGTTCCTCTGTTTAGAGAGATATATATCGATCGTTCATTTCATGTTGCACATGAATTCAGTTCACTTAAGAAATTCTACTTATATTGGAATTACTCATGCACGACGATTTGTCCTCTACCATGTGGTAACTAAAGTATAAGTTTAAGATTTCTTGGAGGATGAATTACTTACTTCTTTGGCTTTCTCACAGCACCACGCATATGAGCGTTGGTTGGTTGTGGAGCTCTG